GAAGCTATTTTACTATGTAACAGCAAAGGATTAATTTCTAAATGTTTCGTGCCGCTATTGTTGTTATTTTCGTATCCTCCGCGTTTCGTCATGATTACTAAGACCGGGGTTCTCATACAGCCCGTATCTTTGACTTCAGCTCATTTAAGTCATCATTGTCCTCCCAGTATTTTTTCTGATCGAAATTTTTCTCCATTTCACGCAACTTTCTTTTTTTATTAAKTCTATCGTCCCTGTCGTCTCCGTTTTCTCTTCTGTATGCCGCCCTTAGTTCTTGTTCAATCTCCGCTGAAGCCTCTTCCTCTCTACGCTYCTTTACCTCTTCTACTAACTTCCCAAACAGCATACGTCCCTCGTAGCTCCAKCCTTCTTTGTTACCTATTCTACTATCGGTGAAACGTTTTCTGGTTTTCTTTCCACTTCCTGAATTATTCCAYGATTCGTAGTCATTGTACAAAAACAGCAATGCGAAGGCTTCATCCGTGGCGGTAAAAATGGAGCGAAAAAATCATCGTCCAGATCAGAATCAACGGATTGCATTGCAGAGTCTATTAACACACGATCGACTACTTCCACGGATGGGTTGTACATAACTTGGTCGTTGCGATTCTGCGGCATACCACTAGATGGTCCGTCCTGGGTATTAGTTAAACAAAACCGCTGGCTAACGCTGATCTTTTCCTTAGAAGTTTTGAACAACGACGAACTGAAGTCGTGGGTCCCGTCCCCGACATACACATAATATTYGAAGCAATCCTTGCTGAGATTAAGATGAGTGAGTAGCTTCGGTGACGTGATAACTCCGGATTTTTTGTCATGCTTGGCACTGTAAAATACGGGACGTTGGTTCTTCCGATCTCTTGAGCCGTAACAGTTTTGACAGAATACCTTTAGCTTAGGGGGGGGCATGATAAAGAACAAAGCTAAGTTCCAAGCAGAGGGTGAGTTTTCTCGTGCTTTGGAAGTAAAATTATGCTTGTTTTCGGAAACATGTTCTGGATATATGAAGTTGTGCGGGAATTTTCTAAACTATTATCCAATCACGAAAGACTAAGGGTTGACCCTGAAACTTCGATGGTGTCAACCGCGTGAAACGCGCAATACCATTGATCCGGTTTGTGTGACGTAGTAGTAGTATCTTCCTCCTCGACTCACCATCCTCCTCGTCTTCTTCTTCTTCTTGGTGTTTTCTCGCTAGTACTACTACTAGTAGTAGTACCCACCAAAGGTCAAGAAGTTCTTGGAACATGATCAACGAAAAGGACATGAACATAATCACCACCACCACTACCAGTGCAACAAGGACCATAAGTACCACCAATAGTACTAATACTAGTAGCTAGTAGTAGTAGTAGCAGTAGTAGTAGTACTAGTAGTAGTACTAGTAGTAGTAGTAGTAGAAGTGCTAGGATTAGTACCAAATCGACAAGAACAAGACAAACATAGTAGTAGTACTAGTAACAGCCAAAAGAAACTCATTCTTGTTGCTTGTTCTTGTTGTTATTGCTGTCAGATCACTTCTCAAGCCAGACTTCACCAGCTGTATAGAAGTATCTTCTTCCAGCAGAACAAGTAAATTAAAAACTTTCTCTGTGTGCTACTACTAGCAGTAGCAGAAATAGTACGCACTACAAAACTTCTTGCTGCTTCGAATTCATTATTTCCGCTCCAAGATTCAGGGAATATGTTGCATGGTTCACGAAAAATATTGAAATCATTTCACTTGATGATCTGGGCCCTCCGGAACCAACGCGCGCGCGTCCCCCCTTTGAAATCAAATATCGGGGGTATGATTTCGTGGGGTTTTTTTTCCAAACAATAACCCACGTTTCTAAAACGTGGGTTTTTTTTTCCAAACAATAACCCACGTTTCTAAAACGTGGGTATTTTTTCCCAAAAAATAACCCACGTTTTTCTAGGGGAGGAATTTGAAAAGGGGGATGTGCGCGTGGGTACCGGAGGGCCCTGGGACCTGCTTTTGGCGCTTCTGATTTGTGCACGGAAACAAGAGTACCTCGCAAGCGCTTGGTAATGAATATACCGCACCGCATGTGGAATCATGGAATATGACACAAATTAAAGAATAACATGTATTTAAATATATATATTACAAGGTCACACGCCAAGAACTCGTCCCGAATACAACTGGTAGCACTCTGCAGTCAGTTATTGCATCAGTCGAAACGTTTCCAACAATATGCAAGGCTAACGTCGCGTTTTTACACCTCGCATCCACACGTATTACTTGCACCATAGACGGCAAATGTGTCGCATAACTGGGCATCGCAATAGCCAATCTGGCACAAATCTTCAATCTCAGCACAGGTACCCTCCGTGCCAGTAAATGTGGGTATCGACATGCCCTCGGGAATCGAAATGACGGCGTCGGGATTCGTTAGGGTGAAGGAATCTAGTCTCACACCAGAGAAAGCACGAGAGCAAATACTGCAGGACTGCGTCTGGGCACCACTCATGTCTGGGGGGGGAGGCAAACCATCGGGGATGGGTAACTCCATGTCGCTGGGTAACAAAATTCCGTCGATCACATGGATAATACCATTGTTGGCGAGAATATCCGTGTCGACTATCCTTTCGCCCATGACCGTGGCGGTCGAACCCATCACATTCAAAATCACATCTTCTCCATGCATTGTAGCCAGCGCAAGGCCGTCCGTTATTGTGGAAGCGGGGTAGAGACCGGGCACGATGTGGTAAGAGAGGACGGATTCGATGTCGATAAGAGAAGGATCGATGCCCATCTGAAGCAATTCTTGAACCGCCTCGTTCGAAGGGGCAAAAATGGTGTACGGGCCGGGCTCGGAAAGGAGTGTCGCAAGGTTTGTTTCGCCAGCAAAAGTCATCAATGTAGCCAGGTCGTCAATGCCCTGCGCCACATCTAAAAGATTCTGACCAACCCAAGAAGGAAGCAGAACGGAATCAAGGGTGTGAATGACACCATTTTCCGGGAGAGCATCGGCATCGATTACCTTTGCCTCTCCGGAATTGATCACAACATCAGCGCCATCTAAGCTGAAGGTAAGCTCTTCTTCGTTCAGGGCAGTCTGAACGAGGCCATCGGTTATATCCGTTGAGGGAAGGGCACCGTCAATGGCATGATATCCCAAAATGTCTTCAAGGTGCACGATCCATTCAGGTGTAGCCAATTGAGCAACAACATCCGGTGATTCAGCAGTGAGAGCTTCGATCGCAGCATTGTTTGGAGCCAACACTGTGATAGGGTTTGAGTTCGTAAAGATTAACGAAGCATAATCGGATAACTTCAAGAAATCCAAAAAAGAGGAATACGTGTCGGGGCTATCACCGAGAAATGCAACCACCGAAGCGGTCTCTTTGCAACCACAAGCTGCGCTGAGACCTCCAGCAAACTCGGCGCAAGTTTCTGGACTGCAAAAACCGCCCAGACAAAGATCCTCAGCTGCTTTACAACTCATTGAGCCCGATATTCCGACCAAGCCAACGCTATCCGGAACCTCGACTTCAGCAACCAGTTCAGATATCTGTAGACCGGGTTCACAGATGCCACAAGGCGCAAATTCGCCGGCAATGTCATCCATGTCATCACCATCTTCGTCGACCGTTTCGCTGATTCTGTTGTTGTAGGTTGGTTAGAAGAGGAAAACGTGTGAGAAAAAAGAACAACTTACAAAAAGCCAGAGACAAACAACAGTCTTTTCGATGTAATATATTCATGAAATCAAATGATCACGTCACACTTACTCAGGGAGAATCAATTGATCGATACTATGAATGATACCATTGCATGCCAAGAGATCTGGAGCTATTATAGTAGGTAGAGTCTCTGGGTCAACGTTGCCATCCCCGCCGATGAAGAACACACTTTCTTCTCCGCATGTAATTTTACTGGGCTCGCCAGTCGCCATCATAACTTCCTGATCACAAGATAGATCAGAAGAGGAAATGGCGCTTCCGGAAATGACATGCTGTAGAAGAATAAAAGTAAGAATTTCTGGGGCCAATGTCTCGGATGAGAAAGACGTATCGGTTGGGGCAAATACCGTAAACCTTCCCTCTGCTAGGACATTGTCCAATCCCGTGCTTTGTAGTGATTCACAAAACGTTTTGTGGTCTTCGGATTCGCAAATCATTTCGACTAAAAAATGAATGGCAATGGACAAATGGAGAATACGTTAGAAAAATCGATGGCATCAGATGATAACAAACATTTCTAATCCGGATCGTATCATTTTAGACGTACTAAGAGTCTGGTTTCCTTCCGTAACGCATGTCAAGTTTCCAGAGGTATCGCTGTGAAAAAGGAGAGTTGCAAAATGTGCATGAAGCAGCAGAAAGTATGCAAATAAAATTTTGCGATGTTGGCAATGTTAGAATTTTTTCGTCGGATATTACCAGACTATATATACCGCTGCAGCAGGCTGAAGCCACACAACGTACCCTGGAATCAAAACCTCCTCCATCGTATGGATGACACCGTCGCAAGCTTCGATGTCGGCGTCGAGAATTTTCGGAAGGGTATTCACTCCGGGCGAGACGCCGTTTCCAATCTGATAATATACGTCGCCTGGACCACAAAAGGTTGTGGTATTCGACATGGTCCCCATTTTGAGGGACTCGCCACAACCGAGATTTGAGCTACTGGCATCCCCATTCACAATGTGGTACAGCAACACATCGGTGAGGGCATCGTTGTCAGCGAGAGCGGCGCTGATGCTCTCGTCGAGATTATCGAAGGCCGAGTTCGTTGGTGCAAAGATAGTCCTGAACGGATTCTCGGGGTCCGGAACGCTCAAGACCGCATCCAGGCCTGCCTGTTCGATGAAACCGCAAAGTTTCGAGAGCTCGGCAGTTCCACAAACGTAGTCAACTGTAAGGGAATCGGTGTAAAGAAAAAAAAAAGAAGGACATTGTGAGAGTGAAGGTTTGGCACCGTAAAGTTTTGTCGCCAGGATTAAGGCTATCGGCAGACAGACACCGTCGACAAACACCAATAACGTACGAAGGCAGTTGTCACCTGCGCCTGCGCCTTCACCTCCCCCATTGTCGTCGTCTTGCATAGGAGGGATCGTTAGTGTTGGACCGCGGTCTGGGTCGGCGTTCGTGTAAAAGCGGGTTCCAGGCCCGTCGAATTCTTCCACGGCATCGATGATGAACAAAAAGCTGACGTCTCGGCCCGCGCCTTCTGGATTCCTGGCCACCGGAGCGTCCGCAAGCTCTTCCGGAAGCGCGTCCGGGGGGAGCGTTGTCTCTTGGAGGGCGCGGCCCCTCAAAGCCGGTGGATTCCCGTCACCGATCTCGGGGAGAGCGGGGGGTGTTCTCAGCATATCGGCAACGTTGACACACACATCTTTAGAGTCAGCAGTGACCTGGAAATCTTCCACGGCTCCGTTCAAACAAGACTCGGGAATTCTATAATCCGCGCTGGCACCGGTCAGTTGTTCGATGTCTTCAGTCGGGGGGGCAAGGAGACAGGTGCTGAATGTCTGGCCTGGCGTTCCCCCATCCCCATCGGTGGCGACGTTGAAACAGAAGTCCACCACGGCATCGGGGATGGCATTGAGGTATTCTGCCACGGTCATATCGCCATCGATGTTGAGCTTGCCATCGAATTGCACCAGGGCATACGCAGAAGGAAGCTCGTCGTTTCCCGCAACGCCGCTTTGGACCAGCATGGTATCTTCGTTGCCCGCAGCAGATTCCGACAGCACCCCGTCGCGGTAGATGGTAGTGTCGGCGCCCGAATCCAGCACCGTAGGTTGACTCTGTGGGGTCTCGGGGGACACCGTGGGATTCGTGATTACATTCGCGATGGTGGGAGATGCGGTAGGAATCGAGGTCAAAAAGTCCGTATTGTCCATGACACCGGTGATGTTCTTCATCGTACCGTCATCAAACGGAACGGCGCCATCATTTCCGCCGGGAAGCAAAACCGCCAGGGGGATGATGATTACCATCAAGGGAATGAAAATGATGCAGCAGCAAAAGGCTACCGCCGCCCAGATGCCAAATGCGAGGATGGCCGCAGGGACGAGCTTTGCCCATTTGGGTTTTTCGTTTTCGTCTGGCTCGTTCATCAAGGATCCCGAAGACAAGTTCTTGTTGAGGATGGCTCCTGCCTCCTCGTCTTCGAAAGGGTCTTCGTCTTCGCTGCTGTCTTGGCTGACCTCGCTCGATTCCGAATCGTTGTGGCTCTGATCTTCTTCGGACTCGTACGGGTCATCTCCGGACTCGTCGTCTTGGAACGAACCCTCTTCGGGTCCTTCTTCGGAGCCCGACTCGAATCCCTGCTCGACTTCTTCGGCTACGTCGGAGCCCATGCTCTCTACTTCATCTCCTTCGTCGCCGACGTCTTCGTATGATCCATCTTCTGTTCCGGCATCGATAGATCCATCTTCTGTTCCGGCATCGATAGATCCGTCTTGGGTTCCTTCGTCGAAAGAGCCTTCTTCCGCTCCTTCGTCATCGAAGCTGCTTTCTTCTCCTCCGCTGCTCTCGCTTCTAGCATCGCTGTCCCATTCKGGTTCGTCGTCACCGGACATCTTGCACTCCAGTTGTTATATTTCTCGTTTCTGTAGGTTCGGTTTTGTGCCACTTGCAAGCACGATACTTCCTGTGCAATTCGACAATTCTTTTCGATGACACTGCTGCTATTGTTCGTACAAAGCAGAGGTCAAATGGTCCGACTGAGTGTAAATACTATCTTTAGACCGTCGACTGTGACGTTTGTGACCAAACGCAAGAGAAGACCGAAAAGCAAGTAAACCAGATCGGCGGAGGATGGATGTTAGAAAGGCGTTTTCACTGTCCGTAGTGTTCACGTGTCCTTCGTACAAGAAGGAGATCTGACAGTACCTCTTTTCTCAGACGAAGTATCGTACTACCCACCTTCGCACAGTAAGAGTACGAGTACGAGTACGAGTACATGCAGTACGTCGTCAGCATGGACCGACGCAAGGGTGAAAAAATCTACACGAAACAAACTACTGCAGGACAATAAATAGCTCTTGCTGATCCTCAAAAATTCGCACTTAGCACTAGTAGGAGGAAACTGGATTGCTACGGAAGTTTTCCAAGACTTGGTTGACGATTTCGTCGCTTGGGCAAAATCTATGGCAGTGACACGAGTCGCTGAAGAAACTTCTTGCTCGCTAAACGATTCACGGGTTTGATAGCGGTCATTTGGAATCAATGACTCCCATGACCAATGGGCATAGACATTATTTCATCAGATAGGCCCTTTGGACATATGAAGAATTCGTTAATCGTGTTTATCAAAAGAATGTGCCGTACGGTAACGCAGAACAACAATATCAACCTATCCGTTTCCGTCAGGAAGAACGGAGTTACCTGGGTAGATTTCAGGGAGAGATGCAAAGATCAAAAAATAATAGTGGTACGGTAGTAGCACTGATATCGTACCGTACGTACCGGCATGTATTCACAAGAATACAGTACTGATTCGCTCTGTAGTACAGTTACGTACGTACGAACTGTCAATTCGCTCAATACTTTATCGAATCCTCATTAGAGCATGGTACGTAGTACCGTATGGTACCGAACGTACGAGTACTCATCCAGAACCATACGGTATATACCACCTTCAATCCACGAAACAACAATGATGAATGATGCCGTTGTAGTTGCGCCAATACTCAATTGCCAGACCTCGGATTCCCTTTAGTACGACAACAAACCGATGACTGTTGTATCCGACGCCACATCTATCTAATCATCAAATCATCCAGATCTCACAAAAGAGCTAGTACACGTCAGTTCCAGTCAGGCTGTACGGCAAATCCGGGACGCTGTGTTGTGTCTCGCAAAAAGAATGGAGGGCGGAGAGATATATAGGGACAACCAACCCGAAACTGACCCCAGTACGGTCACAAACCCGTACACGAAGACGAAACACCAGCTGGAACCTTCCCACCGGCCCAAAGGAAAGTGCGATCCGGACATCGAAGAAGGATTATTGTACTCGTACAGCAGGAACGGGAGCCGAAATAGCGTTTTCTTTGGAAATGGAAATGGGGTTGATCCTGTTCCGTCCCGGAATCTTGGACCCATTCCGGCCGCTCCGGTTTCCGTGTCTGTAGAAAAACCAGAACCAAACGATACAGATGCCACAAGCATTCACGGCTGCAACAACTTTGATAACGGCATACAAGCATGCACGGCATCAACCATCATCAACGGCAGCAACAGCAACAGCAACAACGACACGATATCCTTTCGAGAGATCCTTCCGAGGGACCGCACCCGGATCCAAGAATTGTTCGAGGAATGGTTTCCGGTCGATTACAAGGACGAGTTCTACGACGATCTCTGCCAGAACCAGTCCATGGGCTCGCAGCGGTTGTACACGCTGGTGGCAACCATCACCACGACAGCAGCAAGAGCCCCTTTGTCTCCCGCCCCCGAGCCGCAGCGGGAACGGCTGATCGCCTGCCTGCTGGGCTGCAAGCTCACCGCCAGCAAGCTCAACCGAACGAGCCGGAGGCTGCTCATCCCGGGGTACGAGTCGCGAAAGACGGACCGCCCGGCTGGCCGCGGCGCGGGGGGCGACACAGATCCCGCAAGCGACGACGAAAACGAAAACGAGTACCACTGCGACGGCGAGGAGGACCGCAGGTTTCTGGATCGGACCGAGGTCTTCTACATCATGACGCTCGGTGTCGTCGGCGAATACCGCAAGCGGGGCCTGGCCTCGTATCTGGTGGAACGTGCCCTGGAAGACCAGATCGGTGCCGCCGCCGCCACGGAACACAGCGACGGGAAGCAGCCCGACGGAACCGCGCTTTCCAATGGCACCAAGGGCACCGATCCGACCGAAGCAACGCGGCCCCCCTGCGAGACGGCCTACCTGCACGTCATCGTCGACAACGAAGCCGCCATCAAGTTCTACGAGAAACTCGGCTTTGTCCGGCTCCGGGAGATCGCCGGATACTACACCATCCGGGACGAGAAGCACGCTTCCTTTCTGTACGCCAAGTTCTTCGACCGCGCCAGCCTCGAGAAACGCAGGGCCCGGCGCGCCCGGGCCGCGTGGAAGCGGTGGGTCCTGGCGGTCCCGGGCCGGCTGCTGGAGGCCCTCGCGGTGGGCCCCTGGCTGTGGTCGATCTGGTCGTCCGTTCTGGTCCGGCACGGCCCGCCGCACGAGGGCCGCCAGGGCGGCGGTGGGGGGGGAATGAAGCACGATTGACGGGGACCGTGTGTGCGGGCGCTGGTGCGGCAAGCGAGGCGGAGGGAGGGGACTGCGGCATCGGAACCGATCGACCGGCAGGCACCGCAACTCGCAACGCAACAACTCGGGGGGAAACACGTTTTGGCACATCGGTCTCGATTGCGAGCATATGTAGTGTAATTTAGTATGCATGTATACATTTCTATTGACTTTTATGGTTTCGATCGAAAGTTGATTGGTTTGTTGCTCGTTCTGTCCTGTTTGTTCTGTTGTGCTTCTTCGTCGCAGCTCCCACCAACAGCATCGTCGTGACAATAATTACTATTTTTTCCTTCCATTGGGCTACAATTCTTCGTTGTACTGGAATGCATTCTTGGATGTCGGTTTTGTTTTGCCCCGCTTTCATCCATTGAATACATTTCCAGGATAACAATCATCCCGTATATATGGTGTACCAATGTGACGTGTTATGAAGATAAAACACGAAGAACAAATCGCTCCGTATTTCCCCGTCCACAGCTGGTTACTACCTCCACAACGATTCCAGTTTCTGTCTCGTCTCGTAGCGATCCATGTCGTGCAGTTTTGCTTACAGTAAGGTCGTGTTTCGGTTTGGTTTGGTTTGGTTCGTCGCGAGGCGAGGCGGTGCACCACCATCATTGGCCCAGCCCACCAAAAAACTGGTATTCCTTTTCCTCCACGACGCTCAAAAAATCCTGGAAGTTGTTGAGGGAAGGAAGGTCGTCGTGGCGCTGGCCGAGGTCCAGGGTCGCCCAAAAGATTGCCACCACCACCAGGAGGGCCCCCAGAGCCAGCTCGGTAGCGATCGTGGGAACGACCGAATCGGATCTGTTTGTTGTAGATCGGAGCGATGCAATGCGTTGCGTTGCGTTGCGTTGCAAGCCAAACCGGACGAGGTATCACGCGAGAACCAAGAAATACAAAACAAATTGGATGAGACGACACTTGTTGCGATGAGCGAGTGCTTGCAAGTGACCAACAACCATACCCTTTTCGTTTGCGTGTGCCCGCGCTGATTCGTTTCACTTCCGACAACGACGACAACAACAACAACAACAACGACAAGAACGACAACGAAGGACTCACCCCTTGCTACGCTTTTCCAGCCTCTTCTCGTGCTTCTCGATCCGGAACCGGAGACGGCCGACGATTTCCGCCGCCCCGAGCTGGTTCTCGCAGACGCCCTTCTCGGCGATCGTCCCGGTGGCGCAGCCGCTCTGGACCCGGATCATCTCCCGCAGCCAGTAACGCGACTCGGTCAGGAGGGCCTCCTCGTCGGTCAGGGAGGAAGATCCCTGGACGGCCTCGTCGTCGGAAAAGGCAAAGTCCTGGGCCTTCTGGAAAATCTCCAGGGCCTCGTCCTCCTCCACGGACGCCCGGGAGGGCCGGCTGCTGGTGGAGACAAACAGCGGGGCACCCGGGGCCGTCCGAGAAGCAGCACCCGCCTCTCGTGCGCGGTGAGCCCCCGGGGAGAAGGCGGATGCGGTCGCCGCGAGGGCGCCGAAAAGGAGAAACGCCGGGCCGAGATTCTTCATCGCTCTTTGAGATTGGTGTTTCTGTTCTGTGCTGTGCTCGATGGAGTTGCTTGCTTGCTTGCTTCCTTGCTTGGTCKGTTGGTAAGGTGGATCGTTGCTGTTCTTGTGGTCTGATAGACTTCGGCTGAAGAGTCTCCTGTATTCCGTTGTGGGGGGTGGGCGGTGAACGGTGAACGGTGAACGGTGGGTAGTGTGCGATTACAGATACCTTTTCCGTAGAGTTCTCGTTGTGGGAAATCGAAGAGCGAAGAGGAACAATTCTCAGAAGAAAAAAGCGTCGGGAAGCACGTAGTATTGCTACGATTATTTTACAATACTAGCAGGCTCCGTACTCGTACTCGTAGTTTCCGTCCAAAAAACAACAAGATAGCAATGCAAGAAAATAATCAATCAAACCGTTCGTACCACGAACCGTATCGTACAGTACAAAATGAATCGGTACTTTATCGATCGCATGAAACATACATTGTACGTACCTCGTACGTAGCCATGGTATGCCTGCTTGATGTTGGCGTGTGTCTGCGTCTCTCGGCAGCATGTTTTTGGTTGGTCATGTCGTCAAAACAGTATGATGAAGTACGGAGTTACGGCTTTGTAACAGTATGTACCGGTATCAGGGCTACCGTATGACTTCTCACATCAAACGTGGTTCTTCTGATTGGGTCGGTTGTCGCGACACGCACGACAACGAACAGCGATCAGGTGGGCAGGGATAGCCCACCTGTCATGTTGTCAGGGTGTATGGTGGCGCAGAACACACCAATCAAATCTCGAGTGTGTGGGACGGACAGCGGGGGAGAAGACACGACCAGACGGAGTGTCGCGCACGACTGCAAGATGGTGGACGCGTCTGTCGATCGGCAATCGCAACTGCAAAGGGGCTAGAACCATGTCGATTTCAATTTGGGGATTCCCAGCCCCCCCCCCTCCTGCTGGTACCGGAAATTGAAAATTGGGATCAGTTTTGATCACCAAAAAAATGCAAAAATGTACAAGAAAATTAGGGGAAAACTCATAAGAAACACACCAACCTCCAGCAGGATAGGGAACTGTCCTCTCACCCTACAGGCAGAGCATTCTTAAACAACACTTTCTAGCCCACATACCCACTGGAATAACTTCATTCTTAGTAGAACAAGAAAGGACAGGGGGGGGGGGTCCGGAAGTCTCCTTGGATCAGTGATCATGATGAAGATGAGACCCAACTGCAAAGACTTCTGAAGGAAGAAGAGATTACAATCAGAAACACACTGCATAAGGAAGGGAGAGAGCTAGAAAGCAGCAAGAGTCTCTTCCCTATATTGGTAGTGTCAGTATCACTGAAGAGGAGGAAAGAACTTTTTCCAACAATATTCCTAAAGGGATCATGGAGGATACATCTGAGAACTGTTTCTGGACCCACCTCAACGTTATATATTTTTGTATTCTGTACCTGTCTGTACCACCATTTTGTTAGTGAAAATAACATGGTAAGATGGATTCCCAACCCAACTCACTACCTTCATTTCATATTTATTTTTAATTTTCTGTACGTGGTCACTGGAAAAAAATTCAGTACTAGAATGGAATCCTCAGCTTGCTTGTTGTTTTTACTTTTGGCTTGGTTTTGTTAATTCCAGGGTGTTGTGCAGTGACTGGAATAAATTGTTAGGTTTGAAATCTTGAAGGTGTTGTGACTGGAATAAATAGTAGTTTGGTTTTGAAATTCTTGAGGTGCATGACTGGAATTAATAATTTGGTTTTGAATTCTCAAAGTGTGCAACTACTGGAATATATAGTTTGGGTTTTGAAATGTTTAAGTTGTTTTGACTGGAATAAATACTTCAGTTTTGGATTCTCCAGGGCGGTGTAACAGGAAAAAAAAAAATTATTTTCTGCAAAGAAACTCATAGAATCCAATGCTGAACCATTGTGAATCTGTGAATATTTTTATGGAATATGTTTACTTCACTATGATATTAATGCTACCAGTACAAGGGAAAACCATTTTTACTACCACACATTCTTGACCCCTCAAAAGGAAGGTTCCCCTTTTGATGCTGCTCCAACTTTTCTTGAATTGAACAGCAAATGAAATCATCATAATCATAATCATCATCGTCATCGTTGTCATCATCATCATCATCATCATCATCATCATCATCATCATCATCATCATCATCATCATCATCATCATCATCATCATCCAACAAACCTCACCAGTTGTTGCTGCCATTAGGATTTCCCACTGATATGTCTGCTTCAACAAGTAGTAGAAACCTTTCCTTGAGTTTATATTCAAAGTCCTTTCCTGTTTCTGGGCAACTGCATAGTGATTCAAGCTTTTTGCACAGATAGCTATATAGTTTTATTCCTTACTTTTGGTCGCTCCTCCACAAAACCTCCTCGGAGGGAGGCGCCGCCCCTCGGTGCAGCTAGAAGCATTCTTTTTAACAAAAGCTATGGTTCTGGCCTTCCTAGTGCCTCTTCTAGTTCACGAGGTTAAATATAATATTAAGATTTTTTTTTTTTAGTTTTATTCCTTACTTATGCCACCCTTCCTTCTTTCCACTGGACGAATCACAATTTCTCTTTCTTTGTAATCTTTGGAATGTCCTTGCCTTGGACCTTTATGTCAATATTGTTCTCCCTAAGATGATGAAAGGAAATTAATATCTGGCAAATATCAATTTCCTTTTGCTGATTTGAATTCTCAAAAGATATGAATTAGTACTAGTAGGTTCTTTTTAAACAGTGAGACAGGTTGAAGTTGTACAGGAAAATGAGAGGTATTGTTTGCTCTGTAGAGCCCTGTAAAATTTGTATCAACTCTTGACTTCCCTTGCCCTCATTTGGTTTTGTTCCTCACATTTGTGCAGTTGTTGTTCTTCCTCCTCTTCCTCCTATTAGTACCAGTACTAATTCTATTATCTACAATCATTCTATCTACTCCTGCAGTCAGGATTATATAAAAAGGGAGACTGATCATTCAATAGCACTATGGTGATCTCCAAGCATGCCAACTAGCACCTCCTCCCCTGCACTATTACCACCACCACAGCAGCATGATGGTACTGAGGATTGGCACCAGCATGACTACTAGATCTGCTGGTGGCACCAGTACTACTGCATCAACTACTAGTACTTCCTCCATCCCAAACATGAAAGTCTCTGAAGCACTGCTACTGTCAAAATAAGCTCAATATTGTGGTGGCAATTTCAATGCACCATGCTTCTTGCTTTTTGTTGTGAGTAGAGGACTCATCTCCCATTTTAATTATTTGCAATTATATAATTGCATTGTTCAGTTGTAGTACTACTACTAGTACCACCTTCTTATGATACTATTATCAAATTCTTTATCTATTCAATAAGAGCTGTTTTTGTACAGCAGTATGATCATGATGACAATGCTTGATAATAGGGTTCCAATGATCATTGTACTACTACTAGTAAGAGGGAGCTTGGAGGAGCTCAATAAAAAGAAAGTCAATAAATTCTAGAGGATCCTAATTGTATCATGGGAAATGGGGGGGGGGKGGGGAGGTCTTAAGGTTGGAAGTACTATACCCAGGAGATGCTTTGTTGTAGGGTACAATTTACTTGTGCAAGAAACAAAACACCCTGAAATTCCTTTGCTATTGTGCCCCTACTACTGTCAATCAATTTCACAAACAGAACCAACCTTATTTTTCTTCATGTCAATAAAATTAACTTTTTTGTTCATGTCATGCGCACCAAATATGATTTCACAAATGAAAATATCCCATGACCAATTTCAAGAACAATTACATTCAGCAGTCAGCCGCACTATTGAATCACATGGTGTAATGAATAGTAACGAGACTGCTGTAAATTGAATATTCCTCTTGAAGTAGTATTTAAAAAAATTCTATATTCTCATCAAAGGATTATTACTCTCAATCAATTTCTAGTATTCTGCTACTGCTGTTGTTTGTTATTACTGGTAAAATAAATACAACATTGAAATGTGTAACAAATAGTACTATTCTGGGGGTCTTCCTAACCTGTTTCATCACTACTAGTACCTTCACAGCCAGCAAAAATGCATCTTGCAAAGCTTACCATAATATCTTTGAACAACAATACAAAGGCAGCACAGAGTACTAGCTACTAGTAGTACTACTACTTCTTGAGTACACTATGCAGTATTGCTGACCAGCATGGATGTCAGATGGTCATTTTGAAGCTACCACCAGGCAGGAGGTACTGGCTGGATTGTCAAGAGACAGAAGGACATGTCCTCATGCAGCACCCTAATTCCTGCTCTTCTTGCATAGAGCCCAGCAGTGGTGTACAAGAAGGAAGAATCATCATTGGATAGGAGTTTGTTTACATTTGCAAGGAACAAGTTGCCACAAGACTGACTGTCACCAGCTGTAGAATCACAATTGTGCAGCTGGTGGCCAAGCAGGAGGATTCTAAATTCTTCTCCTTTCACTGCTGGCCAAGAGCCAAGTACTCCACAGCTGCTCCTCTACCTAAATCTCATTCAGTAGCGAAACAAAAAAATAGTAGAAGAAAATATTGTAGCAAACACAAATATCAAAATTCCCTAAAATGCATTATTGAATTTGTACTACTAGTACAAAAGATACACTGAAAGATAAATTATTGAACAGGATTGGACGACAGTTAAAAACACAAAACACCAGTGGCAGAATAAAAGCCAAATATGTGCTAGAAACAACCCAATCAATCAACAATTCTGCTATCACAGTTTACATGATAGAATGCTGCTAACTTAATTGAAAAACATGTACAACTGCAATCAGAACTTTCAAAACTTTAAATGATGGTTCATGTTTGTATTCCAATATTGTGTATACACAGCAACATCTTGCAAGAACTTCTGGTGGTGCAACAATCATTCCTTCTTGTTACTGGTGCTACAAATACTGGGAATAGTTTGACTACTAGTACTATTAGTACAATCAATGCCTGGTCTTTGCTTTGTCTACTACAAGAGGCAGGTCACCATGTGGAAGGATTTGTTTGAATTATCAAATCAGTTGACACCAGCAGAAACAAAGGAAATATAAGACATGTAGTAGGTGATAGCAGAATCAAGAGCAGCACTTCTTGTTGTCCTTATCTACTAGTAGTTAGGATTCATAGAAGTAAAAGAAAATATGTGTGACAGGAAAATGAAAAGCATGAGCCAGATAACAACTTTCATGTATTTTGTTCTGATATGACATTATTGTATCTTTCTGGGCTGATCTATAGCAAAAACAAATGAATAGTATAAGTAACTTCTTTCCTGTTACTACTTCCTCTATTTCTAGTTGTCTACTAGTACTAGTACTAGTATTTCTATCCAGAGCACTTCTTCTCAAGCAGTTTGGAAATGGTTGTGGTACTAGCATTACTACCACCACCAAATTATAGGTACCTCAGAGAACCAAAATTATGGATGATGCATTGAGTTAAGGTTTTGTTGCATCAGCCTACTTAAAATAAGTAGCAAGATCAATGAATTTTTACAAATTTTCACTTTGAAAATTTGGGGTCTAGCAGTAAAGGATGTAGTTTGTTGCTTGCAACCCCTGCTAGAACAAACATTCCAATTCCAGTTGGTGTTTTTTGTGGTCCATTGCAAACCCAATGCATATGCTGGAGAAAAGATTGAGGTTTCTTGATTTCTTGCAATGAATAGCAGTACTACTATGCAAAATAATAAAAAGAAGTAGAGTTAATGCTCTTCAGTTACTTTCACAAAAAACAAGCTACCTACCACCTACAATTCATACCACAGTGGTGAACTGCTACTTCAACTCAATGTTGGTATTCAATTTGGTTTGAGAAATTATGGGGTGAGTTCTTTAGAATTCTTGTTGATGGCTTGTTGTTGTTGCTCAAGCTCATTCATATTTCTACTAGTAGTAATACTACCCTAATACTAGAACATTACCCAAACTCAACTGCAGAGCTACTAATAGTAACTACTCCTCCCTGCTGTGCTATCATCCATATGATATTTTTGCATGAGCAACAACTCCACTTCACTAGAAAGCCAGAGAAGGTTCAATCATTATGTTTCATCTTATTCTTCTTTTTAATTGCCCAGTGGTAATGATATTGTCACAAACACAATCACAATCTTAATACTTGATGTGTCACGATATGATCAAAATAGATCTTTAACTTTTGCACTGTCAGGAGTAATAGACTCAAAGAAAATTCTCAAATGATTAATCAGAATCAAATCATTGATTGTCAATCTATATAGATTCATCTATTGGTAACGAAACGATGTTCGATAGAATAGAAGGTGCTTGCGATCATAAAGCAGATTATTTTTTGGTGCTATACGATTGTTCGATATTGAAAAAAACTCACTCCATCGGTTGAGTGAATTATTGAACGCAGATTCAATCCAATGGTATAGCAATGGAAGACTGCAATATTTCTCACTAACAAGCCCAAACTCTTATCTTTCGAACCCCCGAGACATGATGGTCGAGCAGAGCATTTCGACGAGCATTTCTGCTCAATGGCGGAGGAAAGAAAGCTAATTTTCAACCATTCGATTGATATCTTTCTTAGGAGGAGGGCTGTTTTCGTGTAACGTCGTTAGTTCCATTTTGTTGCCATCCAGTGTACCACATAAAGTTATCGAAGTCCACAATTTGTTTTGGAATGGTTGACCGAAAAGAAGTGAAGACATTAAGAAGGTACAAGGGAGCAGAAGAAAAGCAGCAACGTACGAATGGCCTTTCTATCGAAGGCTTGTCCTGCTTCTTATCGATAATGCAGGCTGAATCGTCAAATGCGAAACACACGAACATGTAACACGTTCAGTACACAAACGCAGACTTACGGTCCACAGGGTTGGATCATTTTGTCAAGTAGTCTCAGTCTCATCCGTCCAATCGATTGGTTTTCTGCGACGGCCATGTACGACAATTGATCGTAGTGAGCCAGGTGGCTCGCATACGTATCCCTATGTTGGTTGGTCACCCATTCGCTAAAAGCGGGCAAGAGCGAACCAATACGATGCGCAATTTGGGTCGGGCGATGGGGCATCAAGTTGCATCGTTCGAGTTTTAATGTGTAAAAAAGCAGAAGGATGTATGTATCAATTTTCGTGTGAGCTGTTAAAATACAAAACTCATCGTTGTTACCGGAGGTTTACCGAATGGCGTAATCTCTTTTGCAAACGGATGGAGCAAATTGAAAACGGACGACTTACTGTTTACTCATATCGGCATTTCCTGTTAGCACATTTTGTATGGTCGATTAAAAACGAAGAAAATACAAGGACTTGAGAGGAAATGAAAACACAATCTTATACTTCCGACATAACTTCTTTGCAGAGTTGTGTTCCTTCCACATTTCATTTGATGGAATAGGATATGAATGCATTGCTACAAATCTCGACCGCTTGAATTATTTCACTCGAAACAATCCCCACAAAGCAACGTCCCAAAAATTGCGATAATGATTGATCCATAAACCAATCGATTCTCCACGAAATGGGTTCGTGTACTTCAAAACAATCAATCTGCATACATACCCGTTCCAACGTATCGGGCTTTCAATTGTTCCGTTGAAATCGATGCTCCTCCAGCATTACTCATTGTGGATTACTTAGTTGTCTTCCTGTTTTTCCTACTTCAGCGTTGCCATGAACTCTGTTACACCTACCGAATGTATGGAAGATCAGGTCAGTGTTTGGGATTATTCTTGCTTAGCAGAAGTACCTGGTACTGTACCATACTGCTACTTCATTCGTACTCTTGAATAGTACCGTATGTACTCTCGGGGGTCATACCCCTGCATACCTACTCTTACGTCGGTTACTCGTACGGTACATCACGGTAGATATAGATAGATATAGATATCGTACATTATCCTACACGAGAGAGCATATTACACATGATACGTCCCGGCAGTACAGTACGTACGTACCGGTAGAGGCACTTACCGTACATAGACTTATGTTGTATGAACTATTGTACGAGTACGTAGTACTCGTACCCTTCAAAAATAAAAATCTTCACCGAAGGAAGGCTACTCTAATTTTGAGTCTCGGGAGTCGAGGACATCAAGGACTAAAAAACACGTTAAAACAATGAAGCCTGCAAGCATTCCGCAAGAAAGACGTTATGTTGAAAAAATAGGAATTTAATGATCCATCGCGCAGACCGAGTTAGCCGTTGCTAAAACACAATCACTTTTTCCAGCAATCCAATACGAATACGTTGCTTGTACTAGTACTTGCCATGCCTGTATCGTTCCTTCTATGGATCGATAGATATACGATTGCGACTGGACCAAATCTCTTTGCCTCTCCTACAGTTTTTTAGCACCACTCGAAAAGCACAATCGCAAAAACCAACAACCATGACATCATTCAACTTCAATCGCAGCAACAGGACTAGGCACCTTTTGGTGCTCGGACTATCTATCGTGGTATTTGCCGTCCTCGGAAATTTCGTGGAAAGCATCAACCTTGTCGCAAGAGTAGACGAGGATTCTAAATTATTCAGCAACATCAAAACTGGCGACAATATAGGCCGCATTCGTGGGAGCAGGGTCCGCAGGGCTTTGTCCTCCGATGACGATGAAGGGAAAGGAGCAAAGGGCAGCAAAGGGTCAAAGAACGGAGACGACGACGACGACGACAGAGGAACCAAAGGTGGAAAAGGCTCTAAGAGCGGAAAAGGATCAAAGAAATCCTACTATGGGGACGATGATGACGATGGAAAGGGATCCAAGAGCGGAAAAACATCGAAAAGCGCTAAAGGATCCAAGGGCGGAAAAGCATCGAAGAGTGCAAAAGGATCAAAAAGTTACTTTAACGGAGACGACGACGACGATGATGATGGAAAAGGATCCAAACGTAAGAAGGGGTCAAAGACATCTAAGAGTAGGAGCAAGAAAAGCCATAGCAGCACCACAGAATCCAGGATCGATGTTGAGAGCTCCTCCGTAGATAAACCAAAAAATTCCATGACCTCTCAAGAAAAAGATCACAAAGAACACATCGCCGATATCGGAGAGCAAGGTCGGGGCATTTTTGCTGGCATGCGACCTGACCTATGGGGTGAGCTTAACGAGGAAGATCAGAGCGACAAAATCGTCGTTGACACCACTCAATCCCAACAACAAGATCTTTCTCCGAAAGAGGATAGCAACAGTGCTGCAAACGATAGAATTGTCGAAAGCACCCAATCCCAATCTCAACATTCAAAGGAAGACATTGGTGGTACTGGCGAGGTAACCATCGAGGATACAAGCCAATCTCAAAAACAAATTCTAGAGGACGACATTGATGGTACTAGCGAAACAACAGTTGTCGAAACTACCCATTCCCAAAGTCCAAATGAAGACATTGGTGTTGCTGATGCTGTAACCGATATGGATACAACCCATTCTAAAGACAATATTCTAGAGGATGATATTGGTGACAATAGTGCGACAGCCGTTGTCGACGCCACCCAATCCCAAGGTCTAAAGGAAGAGATTGGTGGCACTGTCGAAGAAAACGCCGAGGATACAACCCATTCTAAAGAACAAATTCTAGAGGACGATATTGAAGGCAATAGTCAAACATCTATTGTTGACATCATCCAATCCAAAGAAGAAAATATTTCTCCAGAAGAAAATATCCCTGAAGGAACTGGCGATACAATTGATGCCGACACAGCTCCATTGGAAGAAGAGAAGAATATTCGTACCGTTCAGCTTTTTCATCCAGAAGCTTTGGATGAATGTGTAACATACGACAAAGAGCTCGAAGAAATGACTATATTCATGTCAGAATGTTCAACATTAAACAACGATACGAGACACGATGATTACTGGGAAATTCTTCAAGCAAGAGTATCAATAAATAATACGGAAGGAAATACCTTCCATTTGCGTCACAAAGCGACTCAATTGTGCATACCAATGAACACGGAAAATCCTGATGCTTCCTTCAATTGCCAGCGGTACTTTGGAATGAATGAGGCAATTGCCGATTCTTTCAACGGTTTGATTGACTGTGATAGTGGTGTTGCTGCTGTCTTTGGAATGGGTGGGGTCTCAAATTCATTATACCTAAAAAATGCCGGTTGTTCTGACATGGCGATATCAGATAACAAGTCAGATCTGGACATCGTATTTATCACCTATCAAAATCCCGTTGAAGAGAAGCGCGTGGTGGTTTTAGGTCAATCAATTTTGTTAGAACTTGGAGGTGCTGTGGCCAGCTACGATTTTAGGACCGAGTGGGCCTTTTTGGACGTGAAGGATATTGATAGAGAGAAGAAAGTGGTCGCACCGCAACCACATTCCGATCTTTTCGATCATATCTTTCACCTGAACGATGGGAAAAGCAAAAACGGAAGCTCCCCCGCGAAGAGGACGTAAGATGGACGACAGCAATGCAACAAGTTGAATTGATCGGGAAGTGACAAAGAATGTACAGGGGAAAATCTGTCACTTTTTGCCGTTACGGCACCTACTTATCTAACTGCCACAGAATTGTAATCCTGGATCAGTCACTAAGAGGGATTCAACCAAGGCTTCCGTCACTTCTGATTGAAATAGGGATAATCTGGAAAGAAGTGTAAACATCGAAAGCAATCCGACAAATTGTCAATGTTTAGGAAGGCACGAATCTAATTCGTTGATTGATTCATTCGATGAGGAAGCAGAATAGAATTTTACGTGAAAGTAGCACATAGTAACACAGAATCTACTTCTAGTCATATTCATACGCCGGGTATTGCATAGCAAGTTTTGTACATCCCTGCATTCGTTCACGAAAATCATTTCGTTTTTAGATTGAACGTTCGCCCATACCCAAGATCCCTGAAAACAGAGCACTGTAGCACTTTCCCGGTATTTTTGTCAACCGACGCCTTGACCTGTCCCACCATGGTCCCGCGTTGTTCTCCTTCCTTGGCCTTGCCACCCCCCATCCCCAAGAACCCCTTTCCACCCTTTCGAAAAGAAGCGTTGAACCGGACGGCGATTGTTCCGGCGGTCGGGCTGCCGAATCCCAGCACGTTCTCGACTTTGTTTAGTGTTCCCAGTTCGGTCTTGGCGGAGGAGTCCTTCTTGAGAGCCGAGACGACACTCTTGATGGCGATGCTGGCCTCCGCCTCTCCGACGGGTTCCTTGGCCGCCCCGAACATAGAGAGGGACGTCCTACTTGCTTTGTTTGGTCTGGGTTTCGACTCCGGAAGTGGTGTCGAAAAGGCGGACACCGATCCTACCGACGCCGTGCCGAAGGTGAACACGAGGCCTGTGACAAGCACTGCGCAAACGGCTCCAAACCACCGGGCCAGCGAAGCAACGGAAGAAGCCCTTTTTCTTCTAGCGGCGGTGTGTGTTATTCCACCAGAATCTGGTCCTAACGTATTCATTGACATTGTTCCGTAAGCTGGAAGTTGGCGAGGATACTGATGGTTCTTGCCGATGCCGGACTGTCTTGGCGACGATCGCAACAGAGAGATTAAAAATGTACCGTACCGTACTGTAATAGTAGGAGTTATGTTAAGTACTTGTTGTTGAAATACGGCGTGCTGGAGTACCAGAATCCAAGGATTGGTGCGGCACATCCGATGACCATCCAATCCTGCAATATATAATTATGACCATACATGTAGTACACATATGCTGCACCTCCACACKGACTGATCTGGAACCCACTGAATAACGCGACCACAACATACCCCCGATATTTATGATTTGCCAATCACATGGTCGCACATACCAGTACCATCCAATCCTCCAATATTTCGAGGTTATTAAGCAGCGGATGGGCACCAGATGGTTTAACCAAATGAGGTTCCACCAACTCAGTGTGCTCATTCTTTATTTTCAATTATCTAACCAATAGGACATTCATTTATCCTTTAAGGTTTCGTAGCAAAGCTATTGATTTAACATAATTGAAAATAAAGRAACGGTAAGGCCTGCTGWTGAATCTACTAATAGACCACCAGGCGTGAAACCACCACAGTAGTTTCTTTCTCTTTATAACAGATTCCACCGAGCAGTCCACATAGGCCCTCCAGGAATAGAATTGTTGAGTTGACCACGTCCTCCAATCCACATACACTAAGAATACTCCACCATGGACACAGTCAAATCCGGTTCATTTAAGGCACAAGGCAACGGGGGAGGAGGGCACGGCAACAATGCTTCCAGCGCTGGGGCCGGGTCTTCCGCCAACCAAAAGGGGCGCAACAGGAACCGAAACCGTTGGAAAACGGCAAATGGAGGRGATCAAACCCAGTCACAAAATGACAAGAAGTTCACTGGCCTTAACCAAGAGGAATTGAAAGGGCTCACGGTGACCGGATCAAGCTCACAACAGTATGACAAGTTGTTTGAAGCGATCAAGGTAATGGCAGGAAAGAAGAACTCCCACGTGAAAGGGACACTCCTATCATTTAAGATGCTGACTGAAGACGACTTCGTACCAGCAATGCCGGATCCGTCAAAATATACRGTAACAAGCACAGAAGGCCGCATTACWGAAGATACCAACAAGAAAGCACTGTTGAACCAAACATGGCTTGACAAGGCCAAGCGGGCCGGAAAGAAGTTCGAACAGTATGAGGAGGATCTGAAGAACCTGTTTTCATCTATCGAGGGACAGATGAGCCCCGGAGTGAAGCAGCAAATCAAGGCAAACAGTGAGTGGGATAAAGCTGAACAGGATCAAAATACTCTCGAGCTACTAAAACTGCTGCGAGAGTACTGCTACAGAGATAGCAACACCATGATACATCCAATGCTAGACGTGGCCAACAAGGTCACCAAATTCCTAACCTGCAAACAGGACCACAACAAGGATGCAGCGACTTACGTAGACGAAACCAAAGCGAGATTCGATGTGTTGAAGTCCGCTGGAATACACATCTGGTCGGAAGATATGGTGCGGTATACTCTTGAGAGACAGTTCAAAGGGGAGACCGTGGCCACATACTACGGGAAGAACCAAACAGACCGCAAAGCGATCGAGGATGCAATGGAACAGATGTTGCTGGCAACAGTAATCGCAAATGGATGCCATCCTCGGGCTCATAGGAACCTCGGGGGTGTACTGAAGGACAATTACAGCCTGGGAACCGATGCATACCCAACTACACCGCCAAAAGCCCTGGAGCTACTTAACCAATACAAGGTCTCAACAGGAGGCAGACCAAATGGAAACGGGAACAATAACAACCACAGAAACGACCGACAAGGGAATCGTGAGCAAGGCCGTGACCGGTCAAACCAGAAGGATGCCAAGGAGACTGAGGCAACAGCCTTCGTTACCAAGGGACAAATTGAGGAGAATAGCGAAGTAACGGTGCAGGAGGCAACACAGGTCTTCATGAATGCCATGAAGGAAGGGGATGAGACCGATGAGCTCTGTTTCATCCACCTGGCCAAAAAGGTCCCTCCTTCAC